CTTTATATTTACATTTTTTTAAAAATTTTAAATGAAATAATCGGTTCCAGTGACAGTACCCCATATTACTTGTTTTAGATACTTTTGTGACGTTATAAACGCCGCGCATGCGCGTACAGCCTCTCCAATATCGGAACACTGATACCACCAAACACGGGCAGCCGCAAGCTCCTGTTACGTAGCTTGCAAAACCGTACACTAGAGGGCAGTACGCGACGCGCGCAACGCGAGCGCCATCTAGGTACGCACGCGAATCGAGATAGCCAGCCAACTTCATGTACCATTAAACGGCAAAGATGGCGGGAACGCACCGAGCGCAAATACGTTGGCTTTCTAGTTTTTCGATATTATTTTTAAAACTTGTGATACTTTGTCGCGTGTTTACAATGCATATTGCGTGGAAGACGATTATATGAAGCAATTGAAATAACGTTTGCAAAGTATGTATCGTAGTATGTAGATATAACAATTTATCTTTGGCGGAAAACTTTGCGCTCGCGCCGCTTCGACTATCAACCAGCGGCAAAATGATTTTAGTCCTTTAGTTTTTTGTCGTATTCTGATTCAATCGATTTAGATTATTATATTCAGTTTTTTACGTTAGATATAGATAGTATCAGGTTTTATAAGTAAATACATGATCAAAATAAGACAAATTTCTTCAGAAAAGTATAGAACAAAAACGTATTCACTGAGAAATAAGAATAAAACAATACTAATAGCAAACATTTGTAACGCTTTATTTTCATTTTCTAATCAATCAAATAATTTGTTAGGATTCCACACGGTTTCCACTTTACGGAAAAGAACCGCCAGAAGTCGCTGCTCTTTCTTTTTAAACTTGGCATATCTGACTAAGGGACAAAGCAGATTCAAAGTCGACTAGATATGGAGTTCATCAGTAAAATCAAATATAGTAAGTTTTCCATGTAATTAATAATAATTTAATACAAGTTATATATCATTTTTTATAATAATTAGAAAAGAAACTAAAAATTTTTAATCAAAGGGAGAGAAGAAATTTTTACAACGCAAGGTTTACTTTCGCAAAATTTTGCAAAACGAGGTTACAAAGAGATTTGATTTATAACAGGGGCAATAATTTTCCATACACCTATCAGTCTAATTAAAAGATGTGACATTTATATCGCATCATGCGCATAAATAGCTATAGGATTCTGATCGGTGATTTCAACATTTTCTTTTATATAACGGAATTTGATATAACAAGTACTTGCATTTCCTAGAAATATATCGTAATTTGCGACGGAAAACATCAAATAGGCTTGCAAATAGAGTTATATATAAAGTTTAATCTTCCTCTTCCCTTTTTCCCAATACCATCTTTTTACATTTCCGTGAAACATTTCTCTTTGAACTCTTTGAATTTTATATACAAGTAATTAAAACTTAATTCAGATTTTCTCTTACTATATCTTCTATATATTTGTTTTCTATTTGAAAAAAAAGTTTAATTTGCGAATAAGAAAAAGCGCAAAAATATATATAACAAATAATTTTTTTTTGCAATATTTTATAATATTTTATTATTTAATAAAGAAATAATATAAATTTTAAACAAGAAATAGCAAAAATTATAAATAAATTATATTTTCACATTTTTGTGTGTGCCATATTTATAAAATTCATGTTTGCACATATAAATTTCGTATACCTGTAAATAAATCTTATAAATTATTTATGAAGGTCTAGACATTTAATAAAAGATTCAAAATAACACGTTTCAAAATATGTATTGTAGAAAGATCATTTATTACAATTTATTCTTCAAAGAAATTACATTAACAGTAGACTTTAAATGATTTATGCTTTTGCAGACGCGTAAGAACAACAAATCCTTTAAATCCGTTAGCTTAAGACTCGAAATACGCTGTGATGAGAAGAAGAAATGTTCACGATTGTGCAGATTAATCTATATAACGAGTGTATCTATTTAAAGACCGAGAAATTGAAATGAATAAAATATAATTATGTAAATTGACAGGTTAGTATCTCTCACACAGCTGCGCGCGAGTGCGCTGATGAATATCGGAGATGCTGCAATTAAAAAAAGCGAAAAATGCGCGCTGCAAAACGAGGTTACAAAGAGATTTGATTTATAACAGGGGCAATAATTTTCCATACACCTATCAGTCTAATTAAAAGATGTGACATTTATATCGCATCACGCGCATAAATAAACAATGATGAAAAATGTATCCCCGACAAATCTCTTTACGCATCTCTTTTTCAAATATTCCCTCGCATGTTTTATACATTGGTGTTCTAATTATATTTTATTTTATTTTATTAAAAACCGTATCTTTTTTACGCAGAAAGATCTTTCTTATGTAAAGATATAAAAGGAAAGATCCTCGATATTTTTAAAGTGGCTCGAGAAAGAATTGCAATTAATATGCATTGTTCAACGGATATATGTTTCATATTGTATAATATATTGTTTATGTGAATACGAATTATTATTCTCAATATTAATCATGTTGAGAGAACTAAAAAGAATTATTGATATTTTGTAATGTGCGAGATAATAAGGTGCATGTGAAACGGTATCACAATTTCAAAATAAAATTTATTACCTCTTACTTAATGCATATGTATGCCGTGTCACTGTTTTTGTATAGATAACGCGTTGCTGTAATATTATGCACTTTATTATCATTGTATCCATGTTCCAGAATTTTCGAGTGTTGAACACATGTGTCTTCTCACGGAATAGTAACCAATTAACAACTAATTAATAATAACTAATTAAGTGATAGAAGTTAGAAGTTTCGAGATTTCTCAATTAACAAAATTGCATATTATCTCTCTCTCTCTCTCTCTCTCTCTCTCTCTCNTCTCTCTCTCTCTCTCTCTCTCTCTCTCTCTCTCTCTCTCTCTCTCTCTCTCTCTCTCTCTCTCTCTTACACAATATATTATGTTATTACTTAAAATATCGCTGCAAGAAAGGCATTTTTCTATGAAACGTTACTTGTAAAAGCTATTTTCTACTTTTAATGAAAGCAGAATATTAATATTTATTTTTATTATCAGATTTTTGTTTTATAGACGCTTTGTCTTCTGCATTTTACTGGTTTCTTTTCTCCCTTTTTTCTATATGAATTGAATGAATGAATAAAAAATACAAAAACACAAAGGAGAGAAAATATAAGGTAAACAGCTGCAAAAACGGTTTTTTGTAAAATAAAGAAAATTACTTAAAACATTTTTTTGAAACAGAATTTGGAAAATAATTGCAATAAAATATTTGTATGTAATATTTGGCAAAGTAATTAAGTAAACTGTTCTTGAATACTAATTTTGGTAATACAAGCGATTTGCAACCACAAATTAGAAAAACAAACTTTTCTCTGGTCGAGATTATAAATGAGATCTTGTATATACTCTCTTAGGATAGCAAGCATTCAGACAAAAAAAATTATCGCGTATATTAAACAAAATAATGGCAAAAATGAGCTAGCTAGATTGGCGAATTCTTTACATTTCTGTATTTTTGTATTTCAGAATTACTGATGCAATGTTAAATATCGAATATCGGCGAGAGGACAAAATCGCGCGAATATTTACAAGTTAAATTCTTATAAAATTATTTTTAATTGTTTCAATTTTTTGTATGTTTAATTGTATGAGCTATTTAATTTTATTTTCTAATTTTTTTGTAAACATATAGGATATTATAAATAGTTCTGAAAAAAAATTAATGTGTGATTCGTAATAAGCAAAATTAGTATTACATCATATCTGGTGGCAATCTGCAATTTTGTCTCTCTTTTTTACACAAATTTTCTCTCTTTTTTATTTTTCTTCATATCGATGAATATTAAAAATCAATTAAAAATAGATTGAGAGTTTGATACAACTATTGAAAAAAACTTAATAAAACTAGCAATTATTATTGAAGCTTTGCATGAACATTAAAATAATTTCTTTTATTTGAATTATAATATTGATATAAAGTGTTAATTAATTTTGTTTATTAATAATTGTGTTAATCTCAGAAGTGTTTTTCAAAGTGTCAATAATATCTGACTTTTTTGTAGCTTTTCGCGAATAATATAAAAAAATCTTTTAATAATAATTTTATTCAGTAGATCTCAATCAAATCGTGTGCAGTTATTTCTTATTGAATTATTCTGTGCTCACAATAGAAAGAAACAGATTGAAGCTAACGTTTACTAGAAAATAATGAATGAATATGAGTTTCTTCGAGATGAAACTTTCTTACGTGATATGTTTCTCGACATAATAATTATAAAATTTACTTCGAGAAAATAATAAAATTAGAATAATTTACGTATAAGCTTTGGTATACTGAAATTTATGCATAAGAAATTAGAATGCATCTTAGTGGAATTATTCAGTGAG